CGGTTGGGATGTGGGACGTCCCAGCCAGGACGTCCCACAGTACTACAGAATGCAACATTTTTTAGACCCTGAGCAGAAGATAGGCACCTCCCACCAGTACGTCCTGAGTGGGAGGTGATTGTCACATCCCGGAAGGAACGTCCCCAGGAGGAACTGACAGGACCCGGATATCATTTTATGTAAAACAATATGTCAATATTCAAAAGTCAAGTGAGATTCGATGTTTTTTATTTGAACCTTAAATATATTCATCCAGAAGCAGGTCCCGGAGAACTCGGTCAAAGTTGACTGAGTTTACAAAAATTATTTATGGCAGTCATGTGATGTATCACTTGACCACGGATTTACCTCACACTTGGCGAGGGGTCTATAAGAGAGGTATGCGGATGATCCGCGAGATTTAAATTGGACATCACATAAAATCTAAAATTGTGCATGAAAGTGAACATTGGTAGTGCAATTCGACTTCATGCCCCTTGCTTTATACGCAAATAACGTAACTTTTCAAAATACTTATTATTTCGTACATTTTAACGCAAATATAATAAAACCTACGAGGATCGCGTCGCTAGCGCTATCTGTCGGCAAAATATAGCACGGCACACGGCTGCCACTGGCACTGGCATACCAAAGACCTCCCGCAGCAGATGTATACAGGATGTTCATCATCCTGCTAGTCTCCCTAACCATGGCATCCCGAGCAGGTTCTATGCAGTACGTCCTGGTGACATTCATACTGGCACATCTCTAGCAGATGCATACGTAACGTCTTTTCCAAAGACATGCTGGTCTGCACCCTGATTTAACGCCCTGAGGAGCAGCCCGACGGGTGCCCCTGAGGAGGTACTCGTATGTTACGTCCTGCCCGATGACATGCTGAGTAGCTCCTCGGCGGGACAACCCGAGGAGCTTTACCGCAGGTATATCCTGAGGAGTAACTTCTCAGTACCTTAACTCAGAAGCACCTCCCAATCAGATCCCGCTCAGGATGTCAATGTGGTCTTGCTGTTCAACACATCCTGATTTGCTCCAAGGCATGTATTCTTGGGATGTCCCAGTAGCACGTGTGAGGGATTCGTGTGGGATGATCCCAAACTCCTCCCAAAAGTAAATGGGAGGTGCTTTGTTGACTGGGCAGCCGGAAACGACTTTGGCGCTAGGTTAGACTAGGGGTGCGTAGGAAACTTTTTGGCTCGACTATACTAGTCTCAGCGGTCCGGTGGTTTCGGTGGTGCAAGTGTTGGTGTAGTGGCGCCACTAGCAACTGTACAGCATGCAGATGTACGCACACACCTACTCGCAATGTCACTCACTCGGTCAGTTAATCAAGAAAGTCAGTCACTAAACACGCGCCATTGGCTACTCGCAACTCTACTGCATGCACACACACACTCAGTTTCTACGGAAATGGGGTGTTCCGGGCTATCTAAAACGGAAATGGAAAAGAAAAAAAACTCGCCGATTCGTCCGTTTCCCGTTCAGAGAGTATGCGAAATTATTAGAGTTTCTCATACCTGAAAGGCCGTCGAGTCACGTGATCAGCTCGACAAAAAGATAACAAACCCGGAAACAGAAAAATCAACGACCGCGTGTTCTTTTCCTCCTCTCGTTTCGGGCTGCCTGGAACACCCCTGTTCATCTAGTTCCAAGCTTAAGGCATGCGCCCTGAGACACCGTACCTGGAGCGGAGACACCACCATGAGGGTGCGCATGGCAGCGCGAAGGAAGTCATCGCGGCCGATTGGCGCGTCCGGCGGCGAGGTGAAGAGCGCCGGTGCGGACCTGGCCGAGGCCGAGCTGGTCGGACAGGCGGCCGCAGCCGCGCCCTGGGCCGCGGGCGCCGTCGGGGACAGGGAGGCGGCGATCACCATCTTGGGGGCGGCGGTGGTGGCAGGCGTCGCGACCGGGGTGGTGCTGGAGGGCGTGCCGGCAGCCGGCGCGGGGCAGGGCGGCGTGGCGGTCCCGGACGACGCCCGGGGCCGGAACTTCCGGCGGAAGGACCAGCGGCCAGTGAGGCGCCGCCAGTCCTGGGGGGAGCCCGACGGCGCCGACGTGGAGAGCGGCGAGGCGGCCGCCGCTGCCGCCGCCCCCGCCGCCGTCGCCACGGGGCTGATGGGTCGCGGGTCGCTGCTCGCTGCCGCGGGGGCGGGCGCGGCCGCGGGGGCGGCGGCGGTGCTGTGGCCGGGGGAGGGGCCGGCGGGGCCGGGGCCGGGGGCGGCTGCGCGTGGCCGAGCTATCTTGCCTGGTGGGGCCGCGACGAGGTCCTCGACGACCGGGCCCGTACAGAGGGCGGGCCCGCGGGCAGGCTCTTACTCTGGCCGGACACTCGCTCTTCTCTTGGGGCTGCTGTGCTGGACCATCTGGCTGCTGCTCGCTGCGCCGGCGGCGCCTGTCGTGTCGGAACATGGTGGGATCGTAAGAGAGAGAAAATGGGGGGAGGGGTGAGGGTGGGGTAGTCGGGGGAGAGTTATGCAAAACTCCCTCCTGGTCACTACTTTATCACTGCCTTTTAACAACTCCCGCCGGACGGCGCTCGGCCGCACGACCGTTCTCTGCCCGGCGGGCCGGGCCCGGCGGGGCCTTCCAACAATTGCGACGATAATAATAGAGTGCTGCGACTGGCAGACTGCGGCCGGTGCGGGGGCGGGGATTGGGGACATTGGGGACTGGCGCACTCGCCCTGCTCGCCCTCCTCGTCCTAGTGCTGCTCGCCGTCATGTCGCCCCACTCGCTGGCGCTGCTGTGCGTCCTGGCCGCCCTCGTCAGGGAGGTGAGCGTTGAGCAGGAGGCAAGCCCGTTGCAGCAGCGTAGGGGTGTGAATCTTTCAACGGGAAACGTGAGAACCGAAAGACATGCAGCAGCGGCAAGTCAGGATGGAGGATATTATTTTTCCTGAATTGTCCAATTTAATTAATTTAACTTCTATTTATTGGGTCTCGAACTTCAACGAGGGGAAATGGAAAGTAAAATGGAAAGTAAAAAAATTCCCCTCTGACCCAGGGCGGGGTATAACCGAGTATAACTATATTTTTCCCCACTTTGTTCGACTTTTGTCAGGCCACGCCGCTGGTGGGCGGCGCGCCGGCCGCGCCGGGGCAGTTCCCGTGGGCCGTGCACCTGTCGCTCGTGGCCGAGGAGGTCGGCGCCGAGGAGGCCGCGGGCCCGCGCGCCGGCCGCAGGCTCACCTCGTGCACCGGCACGCTGCTCACCGCCAGGGTCGTGCTCACCGCGGCGCACTGCGTCGAGCGCGCCCCGCACCGCCCGCCAGAGTACGTCGACTACGTCCAGGTGAGCAGTGCGAGGCGAGCAGCACCAAAGGGGGTCCTTCACCCGGAAAGATCGGTTTACATCCCCCAACCAAAAAATCAAGACAAAAATCAGCAAAAAATAGTGGAGAATGAGAAAAAAATCAGGAAAATTAGAAAATCACGAAAATGCCAGAAAAAATGGATGTACGTCTGTATTTACGGTTAAAGACTCCTCAGGCATGGCACGTTACACGACCAACACCCACGCCGCGCGCGTGAGCCCAATGATGGGGGTTTGGTAACCGTAACCCCGGTTCGACTCGCCGCCGCGTGACAGTTTTGGGCTAGTGACGTCACCGTGACGTCACTCCCGCTTATCATGCGGCGCTACAGCGGGCGGACGTCGTATTCCGTGACAGGGAGCCGTGTTGAAATAGTGCGCCTCCCTCACCCCCTCCGAACGGCTCCCGCCTTCCACAAAGCCAAGCCCATTTCAGTTCGGTGACCTGACCTCCCACGCGGCCGGCACGCCAAGCTGTGTGTCGTGTGACAGCGGGGGAGGGAGGGGGGGTAAGGTTTTGGGGGTAAAAGGGGTTGGCGAGGGGACGAGATTACGATTCGCACACAGTCACGCGGACACGACTGGTGCCGTGACTATATTTTGGTGTAAAAATGCGACGAGATTATTAGAAAAGAATATATGTACTACTTGCGGGGGGGGGGAGGGGGGGGGGGGGGTCCAAAGAGGCAAAGCATAGCAAGTAGTAGCAAGTATTATGTAAAGAAATCAAGATATTCTTTCAGAAAAAAACTAAACTTAATAAGCTAGTGAACAAAAGCTGCCCGGAAACTGTTCTAAACAGGGGTACTCATAGTAAACGTACTGACCGTGTTCTCGTCTCGATACGAGGTTTATCGGATGATAGGGCGGATACGGATACGGAAGTTAGTCGGTGTACAGCAAAGTGTTGCGAGCTAAGTGTGAGCTTGCCCCTATAACGACATATAATCTGATCAGGATGAAGTGAGGGGGAGGTAAATGAGGAGGTGGGGGAGGGGGTAGAGGTTCAGGCTTGAGCCCAGGAGTGTACTACACTGGCTGGGCCTGGTGGAGAGGGCGGTGGTTGAGACGGGGGAGTTGGTAGAGAAGGGGGGGGGGGGGTGAAGAGGTATTAAACGTGGTCAAGCGTTTGTAGAACAACATGAGTGGTGCTCTCACCCGCACCCCAACTCCGACTAACAAAACCCCCATTACACACAAACGCACCGATTTGCTCACATCCTTCTCCGCTCCGGCCGGTGCAACGTGCTGTAAATTGGGGCGAAACTTCCTTGTTGGAATGGAGTTTTGGTATTTAGTAGCACCGTGTGGGTTCTCAACCCCTCTCCCCCCCTTTTCCCCCCCGGTCACGTGGGCAGGACGCACGAGAGATCACCGAAGAGGGCTTCACCCCCCC